AGAGTCTGGGAAACTCGGGTTGTGAGGTTTATCTGGGGAAACAAAAGGAAGTACAACTTCAGGCCTGGTTTGGTTTCTGAAATTCGCTGCTGCAGGATGTAGTTAGTAATGGTTGCTAGTTTAGTTGTCTTTAAAACATGGTGTGATGACCCCTTAACTGGGGAGGTCTAGTTTCCCTTTAAAGTGTTCTTTAGGTTTTATTTTATTATGTGTATCCGGCTGCCACCAGGAAATTTATAAGGCTTTCCAAAACTTTATGCTTTACTATTTCTATCACAGGGTAGGTGGATCGAGGGTTTAAGCTTTCGAGGAACTATGTGGTCTGAGGAAGGATTCTTTCTAGACTGGTATACTTGAATGAAATAGGATTTATTTAAAGAAAGCATAAATACGAGGGTAGAACCATGTAACTAGTAAAGTAGGTATAACACACAGTCTGCTCCCTACTGACAGGGATTTTTCCTTAGGTAACTTTGTAACACTTTTTCCTTCATGTCCATATAATCTTTACTGTTTCCTAGACACTCAGCTTCAGCTTATAACTGTTTCAACACAGAACTGCTTGTCACTTTCTTTCAGACACAGCACTTAACTCTCATATCACACACAAGAAGGTCTCTCCTTCAGACCCCAGAACTAAACTCATCCCACACAGGGTTGCTTCACTCTTCTCCCTGTCACAGAACTTTACTGACTTTCAACTGTCATCTCACTAACACTCTTGACTGACATATCTGCTCATCCACACAGAATCATTTCCAAAACCCCTCCCCCTCTCTGTCACTTACCACTCACACCACTTGCCTGTTTCAATCACACTAGACTATCACACAGGCATGCAACCAAACTTTTAAAGACACATTCACACAGTTAAACATGAAATCATTACACCTGGATTAGGTAACTTTGTGGAGGACAAGTCTACCAATAGCAATTGGCCATGACAGATTGATGAAACTGGCTTGGTCATAATCAGGGATGATAAAACTGTACTGGGAGGGAAACGGGAGGAGGCCTTGGCCTCCATGCTGGATTGTAGGCCTTCCAGTGGAAACTGGTTAGCCAGTCTGTGAAGCGGGGTGTTGGACCGGTGGTCTGATCCAGCAAGGCCACTGTATGATGATGTTTAGAACACTTGTTCAAGATCTGGCTTGCAGTATGGTTTGGTGCACGTCTAGAACATGAAGAGTGTTTTCATGATCATGAACTCTACTGCATAGCTGTTACATGAGCTGTTGGTGTAAATTTTTCCTGTCATATGACATCTTTGAACATTTGCAAGCTGGCTTTTTAAAAAGCCCAGTCAGGTTGAGCCAGGTCAGGTTCACTCCTTGGAGTTAAAGTAAAAGGCTGAAACCAGTATTGTCCCATTGGCTGAATAGTCTGCCACTGAGTGAAAGATAAAGTCTGGAACGAGCCATGCATACTTCATAAAATTGACTGCTTATTCTGAGTATGGACAATGAAACATTCACGCAGTATGAATAGTTGGCCTCAGCTACAACAATATTCCATTCTGCCAAGTTGGCAGGCAAGACTGATGTGTGTTTCATCTAAAGCATCTGCAGAATATCAAATTAAGTGAAACCGGGCCTGCTCTTTCAGAGGATGTTGGTTAAGTCTTGTTTGTTTACTTTATAGTCTGCCTTTTGCACTGAGACTCCAGGCAGTGCAAGTCAATGCAGCCACTAAGATAAAACTTCTAACAAGCAGTGTGACAGGAATAGAATTATAGAAGCATGAAGCAAGTAATAAAGTATTAGACATATTAAATAATGCAGAACATAGTATCCCATAAGTAGAAAACAATGCTGTGAGAGCAGGGTTAACAGTTAACAGTTGATACAGCTGTGGTATAGTCCTATTCCTGACCTGGATAGCCCAGGCTAGCGTGATCTCATCAGATCTCAGAAGCTGAGCAGGGACGGCCAGTCCTGGTTACTATTTGGATGGGAGACCACCAAGGAAGTCCGGGATCGTGACCAGAGAGGCAGGCAATGGCAAACCACCTTTGCTTATCTCTTGCCTGTAACTTGATGGCAAAAAAGTCCCGCTCCCTTTATAATAATCTAATAAATAACAATAATAATGTTTGATGTATAGCCTGTTGAACAAGATGAACTTGGTAGGATTCAATGCTGACTTGCTATTCCAAATTGCTCCACGGGACTGTACTGTGTTTGGAAAGAGGTATGGCTGCAGTTAAATGAAGTGTCAGCACAATAAACAAGATGTGTAGTAGAGGAGCAGGGCTAAGTGTGCTGGTCCTGCCCCTCTGTTGACCCCATCCGTGTGTTTGCCACACCGTGGGCCTGGAGCCTTGTTCAAATTATGTGCATGAGTACCAAGAATGATGCTTTATCAGGTCACACAGGGATGGAGCCTCCAATTGAAAGGCTCTGCACCCATGCTGTGTTAGATATTACATTAATTGGGGGGAATCTCAATCCAGCTCCTCCTCTACACACATTGCACTGTACCCACATCCTATGTATAGGGCCATCTACTTGTATTCCTAACAGTCTGCACCCCACTGCACTGAGGAACTTGTGTGAGGTTTAAGCATTCTCCTTAACTAAAGAAACACTCTACTTTCTGCAGCCCATGCACACAACTCTTCAACCAATGAAAGCTATTGCCTGTAACATTTTGGATCTTATTGACGATTAATAGCAGTCATTCTAGTAACATGCACCAGGAATAGCTAAGAATCTTTCCAGCAGACTGGAAAGAGTTGCTGATATAAACAAGTGTTCTGTGGTCGTCTGTCCTGCAGAAAATGAATTCTAATCTGGATATCATATATCCAGTTTTCTTAATCTTAGTCTTTGGTCGAATAATTCATACTTGCCTGTGCAGGTTAAGTAAAGCATTAATCTTGTGCGTTCTAGTTATGCTCGAAGACCATGATAAGAGCAGTTTGATTATATACATATGAAGAGGTTCTACCCATGCATCCCGTAATTAGAATGATGGTTATTTTGTCTACCAAGCCTGATCACTGCTGCCCACACAGTTCTGTCAGCTGAAACACCTCCAGGAAAGATGCATCCCAAGCAGTTTTGAAACAGTCTGTCTAAATTAACAAGGTACCCCAGTTGTCGGGCTAAAGTAGTAGATTTAGTGTAGCCAGCATATAGTTTCATGTTGCAACATGTTTAGTCCACATTGTGCTGGAAGATTAGATCTGCTTGTTATAGATGCTTGAATTAAGCAAATATGGGTAGCTGTTTCTCAAGCAAAATAACTAAGCTGTTTGTATATGCCACCTCTTGTACAACAAATATTCAGCACTTCAGTTACAAGAAAAGTGTATATCCAAAGATGGAGTATGATATTTTCCCCTCTGCTGAATTGGGTGGTTCAAACCCACCAGCTTTTCCAAGGAAGTACCCTGTACAAATCAAACCCCCAAAAGATAAGTCTATGGAAATCAGGCCTGTGTTTCTGCAGAATAGGGAGCTCTTGAAAGTCCTTTCTCATTTCTGCTGTTGCAGTACTCAGCTGCTTAGGAGGTATGGAGCCAGTGCTTCCAGGCAAAGCAAGCTGTTCAGACCATCTCTATACAGGGGATGAGTGGGAAAATGGAGTACCTAGCACATGGGACAGCTGAACAGACAAAAATTGCTGGGAGTTTGGTGTTATGGGGAAGGAACAAATATGTGCACTACTTAGTAAAGTAAAGGTAAAGGTTCCCTTGCTCGAAAGCCAGTCGAATCCGACTCTAGGGTTGCGGTGCTCATCTCCGTTTCAAAGCCGAAGAGCCAGCGCTGTCCGAAGACGTTTCCGTGGTCATGTGGCCGGCATGACTAAACACCAAGGCGTACGGAACGCTGTTACCTTCCCACCGAAGTGGTACCTATTTATCTACTTGCAATTTCTTGCTTTCGAACTGCTAGGTTGGCAGGAGCTGGAACTAGAGACGGGCGCTCACTCCGTCATGCGGCAACTCGGGTCTCGAACTACTGACCTTCCACAGCCTGCAGTTCACAAACCTAAAATTATCTCACTACTTTAACATAGGGCTGGATCCCACAGAAGATTTCTGTCCACAGAGTGCTGCTTTGTGACTTCACACAGTAGTTCCAAATATCTCCTCACCCCCTCCCCCCCCCCCCCCCCCCCCCACAGGGGGCTGCTCCTGGCAGAGAGGGGATTCCACCAGGCACAGCATGAATGAGGAGTCAGGTCTGCTGAAGGGAGAAGGAAATGGTGAAAATTCCCTTTCCATTCATGGAAATCATCAGGATCCCTCCTATTGAGTGCATCATTAATTATAACTTAGCATATGAAACTGTATTATCTTTCCTAGTTATGAAATGCAAGCGTATAAATACCTTCATGTTCTTCTAGCAAAGCTTTGGCTGTACCCAATACTACAGCAATAGTCTGCTGTACCCTATACTACCGCTGCATATGTATCTTAATCATATGTATCTTAATTTTTGCCATTGGACAGTTGGAAAAAATAAAAATTGAGAATAGCAAACGATTTTGAAGTAAACAAAAGGAGGTAGGTTATTTGGACAGATGGTCTCATAACAGTCCAGAACAGGATTAGCAGCATATTTGGATCTAGAAGTGACCTAGCTAGCATTGAAATAATGTAATTATTGGAGACAAAATCACATTTAAACATTCTTAAACTTTTCTGTACTAAACGTCTCTACACTGTACAAAAGAATTATCATTATCAAAGGAGATTTTTACATGAATACTTATACTACACTTTTTGAATCAAACCAGATCTAAAAAAAGTTCACATTCTAAAAGAGAATGTTCCATGGGAATTTCAGTGCTCCCCAAAATTTCCCATCTTGTTGTGGAAAGTTGAAGAATTAAGGGGAAGATATTTTTCTATTGGGGGGAGGGACACTTCCACTGCTGAGGGCATCAATGCAAGCTGTAGGAGTAAGTTTCCAGCCACCACCCCTAAAATCTAGATATTCAATTAAAAATGAAGAAATGATTCTAATGCTTACTTGCTTTTCTCTTTCTAGAAAACACCGACGCTGAAGTAGAAACTGCTTCAGGCCTGAGTGAAGAAAAGCCCCTGCCGGCTGCACCTGTTCCTAGCCCAGTAGCCCCTGCACCATCTAGGAGAAATCCCCCTGGTGGAAAGTCCAGCCTAGTCCTAGGTTAAACGTGACCCTCTCTGCTTCTAACTACTTGGAACTCATGTCTGTCATCTTTTTCTCTTTTTCCTTCCATGCTTTGTGAACTGCACAACTTGAGCCTGACTGTACATCTCAAACTTATCATTACAAGAAGCACTTTATGTACTTCAGTTTTTTAAGGAAGGCTTCCCCCCCCCCTCGACTTTGGTTTTGTTTCCCTTGGGTCTACTGGAAGTGGTATATGTAATTCCCCCCTCCTCCCAGTGGTAGACTTAGAACAGTGGTATTTGCTATACAGCCCATGGCTGACGGAAAGATTTCTAAGGTATATAGTAGTGTGTATCATAAACTAGACTGGTTGGTTCTGAGTGTGGTAGGTGGCATTTTTGTCTTGAAACTTATAGAAGCCCCTTAGTTGGCTTAGAATGGTTGAAAGTCAGGGTTGTACAGATGTGGTGGTCTCTTCCCTATCCATCTTGGCCACAGGAACAGGATCTTATAAGTGCGAGTATTGGGTGGGAAAGTCTTAAGGGGCATTCCAGTCCAAATTACTCCAGTGCTATGCATGATCATGCAGGTGCTTGACCATGAGGTTAAGATTTCATCCTTCTAAATGTACGTTGTAATTTGACAAAGTTGGGCTGTTGCTTAAAAATAAAGGATATAGAAATTTTGAAGTGTCAGCTTTTATTTTCAGATTGCTTATTTGATACAATGTTTTGTTTCATTGTTTGCAAAATTCTTGAACAAGATCCACTAAAACGGAAATGCTCTGCTGGAAACCAGACATCGTGCAAGATGACTTGATTTTAACATCTGTTTGCTGTATTATAGTTCACTTCCTGTACTAGCATGCATCCTTGATGTGACAATGCAAGCATATTGGTTTGCAAGTAAATGCAGCTTTATTTGACTTTTGGAAGTAATCTGAGGTCATGTAGCTCACGTGCAATTTACACTGCAGAATTTTTGTTGTTGTTCAGTCGCACAGTCAAGTCCAACTCTTCGTGACCTCATGGACCACATCATGCCAGGCCCTCCTGTCCTCTGTCATCCTCCAGAGTTTGCTTAAATTCATGTACGTTGCATCGATAACACTGTCTAACCATCTCATCCTTTGCCGTCCCCTTCTTTTACCTTCAATCTTTCCCAGCAGGGTCTTCTCCAGTGAGTGCTCTCTTCTAATTTGGTGGCCAAAGTATTTGAGCTTCAGCTTCAGTATCTGGCCTTCCGGGGAACAGTCAGGGTTGATTTCTTTTAGGTTTGACTGATTTGATCTCCTTGCAGTCCAAGGGGGACTCTCAAGAGTCTTCTTCAGCACCATAATTTGAAAGCATCTATTCTTTGGTGCTCAGCCTTCCTTATGGTCCAACTGTCACAGCCATACATTACTACTGGGAATACCATTGCTTTGACCATATGGACTTCTGTTGGCAGGGTGATGTCTCTACTTTTTATTATGCTGTCTAGGTTTGCCATCACTTTCCTCCCAAGGAGCAGGCGCTTTTAATTTCATGGCTGCAGTCACCGTCTGCAGTGATCTTGGATCCCAGGTACATGAAGTCTGTCACTGCTTCCATGATTTCCCTTTCAATTTGCCAAGGGGTGATGGGTCTGGATGCCATGATCTTAATTTTTTTTAATGCTGAGTTTCAAGCCAGCTTTTGCGCTCTCCCCTTTCACTCTCAGCAAGAGGCTTTTAAAGTCCTCTTCACTTTCTGCCATTAGAGTGATATCGTCTGCATATCTGAGGCTGCTGATGTTTTCCCCAGCAATCTTAATTCCGGTTTGTGGTTCATCCAGGCCGGTATTTCGCATGATGTACTCTCAGGGGTGGGAAATGGTTAGTAAAAAAAGTAAAAGTCGTTTTTTTCATCTTGGTCAGTAATTTGTCAGTTTTTTTAAAAATGGGTCAGTAAAGTCAGTATTTCTTTGATTTTTGTGAATGTAGTTTGTGTTTTTCCATTTTCATTACTGCATTTTTGGGGAAACATGATGACTTCCCAGTGAGAAGACAGATTGTTTTCAGTTTAGTTATGAAGTACTTTAAGAACTTTGTTCCTAAAAGTGGTTTGGTGAAATCTTCCACAGAGTATAGAAACATAATTAACCTCTTAAAACATGAGACAATGAAAGTAGGGGTGATGGATATTGTGGGATTCAACATGGCACAGCTCATGCTAGAAGGAGTTGAAAAAGCAATGGAAGAAGAGGACAAGAGGAAAAGTGCTTGTGGATGCAGTGCGGAAACTGTTGAGAAACGAAAGAGTTCATGAGTAACTTTATTCATTTATTCAATTTATACCCCGCCCTCCCTGCTGGAGTGGGCTCAGGGCAGCTTACAAAGAGATTAAACATATAGGTAACAAATTGTATACAATCTTAAAACAAATAATAAAACTCTACATTATCATAAAGTGCTAGTTAGTGATCAGGTACTTATAAGAATGCTTACAGAAGACAGAACCAATACTAGTGTTGTAATCAGATGATCTATATTGGTGGTTGGCTCGTCTTGGTCTCTGTATTTAGGCAACAGCACAGGCTGTTGGTGGTAAGCCAAGGACCAGGGCACTGTCAGTTCTCAGTTATTTGATGTTATTTGGTGTGGCTCCTTAGTCGAAGGCCTGGTGGAAGAGCTCCATCTTGTAGGCCCTGCGGAACTGTAAAGCGGTCCCGAGGGCTCTGATCTCTTCTGGGAGCTCATTCCACCAGTACAGAGCAACCACTGAGAAGGCCCTGGCCCTGGTTGTGGCCAGCCTGGCATCTTTAGGACCTGGGAGGCCAATCAATTTTGTGACCCTGAGCGCAGTGCTCTCTGGGGAACGTGTGGGGAAAGATGTTCCCTTAGATATGTGGGTCCCTGACCATAAAGGGCTTTAAAGGGAAGTACCAGCGCCCTGAAGCAATATAGGGAGGCCCATCAGAAACCTGGTTGCAGCATTTTGCACTAGCTGTAGCTTCTGGATTTGGGTCAAGGGCTGCCCCATGTAGAGAACATTACAGTAGTCCAATCTTGAGGTGACCATTGCATGGATCACTGTTGCCAAGTCGTCGCATTCAAGGAAGGGAACCAAATGCCTAATCAGCCGGAGGTGGTAAAAGGCTGATTTCGCAGTGGCTGCTACCTGGGCCTCCATTGTTAGTGAGACATCCAGGAGCACTCCCAAGGTCCTAACCTCCAGTGCTGGCACCAATGGCGCCCCATCAAAGGTTGGAAGTAGGATCGCTACCCTCGGACTGCTCAGGCACAGGACCTCCGTCTTTGTCGGATTCAATTTCAGTTGGCTCAATCTGAGCCAACCAGCCACAGCTTGCAATGCCCAGTCCAGATCTTCCAGTGTAGTCAGACTGGCCACCAAACAACTGATAGAACTGGGTGTCATCTGCATACTGGTGACATCCCAGCCCATGCTGGGCAATCTGGGCAAGGGGGTGCATGTAGATGTTAAATAGCATTGGGGACAGCACCGCCCCTTGGGGCACCCCACAAATCAGTGGGTGCATTTGGGATAGCTGCTCTCCTAGTGCCACCCTTTGTCCCCAACCCTGAAGGAAGGAAGCCAACCATTGCAAGGCAGGCCCCTGGACTCCAGTGTCGACGAGGCGGTGGATCAGTAACTGATGGTCGACCACGTCGAATGCCGCCGACATGTCCAAAAGCAACATTACAGCCAATCCGTCCCAATCCAGGTGCCTCTGGAGGTCATCCGTGAGGGTGACCAGTGCTGTCTCTGTCCTGTGGCCTGGGCAGAAACCAGACTGGAAAGGATTTAGAATGGAAGTGTCATCCAAAAAGCTCTGTAGTTGAATTGTCATGGCCCTCTCAGTTATTTTGCACAAATAGGGCAGATTGGAGACCAGCAGGTAATTAGCCAATTGGCCAGATCTAGAGATGTCCTTTTCAGGAGGCGACAAACCACAGCTTCCTTGAGTGCCCTAGGGAACTGTCCCTCTGAGAGGGACTTGTTGATAATCTCCCTTAGGGCATCTTGAAACCGATCATGGTCAGCTTTAGTTAGCCATGATGGGCACGGGTCAAGGCAGCACGTGGTAGGGCTTACAGTTAAGAGCAGTTTGTCAACTTCCTCCAGGCTGAGCAGACTGAAATAATCCATAACCTGACTAGAAGACTTGCGTGGAGATCACTTACTGTCTCAACTGATGGGGAGGTCACAGCAGAGCGACAGGACTTTATCTGTGAAGTCGCTCGCAAAGGCCTCACAGCCAGTGTCCAGTTCCCTAACATTTGGTCTGCCTTGTGACAGAACAGTCATAGACTGAATTATTCTAGATAATTGGGCTGGACATGAGCTTGCAGACACAATTGTGGCCACATAATACTCTCAGTGGCTTTGACTGCCATCTCATAGGATCTCATAAACGTCCTATAAGATGTTGTTGTTGCTTCGTCACAGGCGTACCGCTATTGCCACTCTAGCCATCTTAGCCTTCGCTTCATCAGCCGCAGCTCCTGGGTAAACCAAGGAGCCAGCCTAGAGTGAGGGTGCAGAGGACGTCGGGGAGCAATCTCATCAATGGCTGCTGAGAGTCAGCTGTGCCAATCCTCCACAAACTCATCTAATGAGCTGCCAGGGGGCATCGGATCCCACAGGTCCATCTGAAGCCACATAGGGTCCATTTGGCTCCGCAGGCGAACTGAAAATCTCCTCACCACCCAAACAGGGTTGGGGTGAAACATTCATATGGGCCTTCAGGGCATGATGGTCTGACCATGGAACTGCTGAGGCAGTGATCTGGTCTACTGTGACCCCTGCCGCGAAGATCAGATTGAAAATCTGGCCCGGTGATTGGGAGTCGTTACATATTGGGAGAGTCTCAGCGCCACCACAGATGACACTAGGTCTATTGCCTGAGTGGAGGCCACATCGTCCACATGGACATTGAAATCACACAGGACAATCAGTCTAGGGTGTTCCAGTGCCCAGCCCGACACAGGGATGGCAGGCTGCTGGCCGGTTCTTTTTTAATCAAAAAACCAAAGATAAAGTAAAAGCAAAGACAAGTCTTACCTTACAGTAATTATGTTTTGTTGTCGTAATGATTTGTGTTTGGTTTTGAATAGGTTTTTGCTGTTTTATTATCTGCAGTATGTGATTATTTTTAAAAGGGAATCTTTTTTTGCCTTAAATTTTGTACAATAATGAAAACATTGTCCTCTGTTCATGAAAAAAAATCAATAAAAAGGCGTGCAATCCTTTTATCTGGGTCACATCTAACTATGGGGCTGGCTATGGGGATGGTGGAGATCAGATAATAATAATTTTTAATGAAGTCCTAGTTTTACATTTAAAACGCTAGCTTATCAGTAGGCTGACATTAAATTGTTCCGTAATTTGTCAGTATTTGGTCAGTTTTTTTGGAATTCTGGTCAGTAAAATCAGTATTTTTGATCCTCTGACTAGTTTCCACCCCTGTACTCTGCATATAAATTAAATAAGCATGGTGATAATATAC